GAGGGAGGAGGACCACTTGAGCCTGGGCAGTGGAAGTTGCAGTGAGCCAAGGTCATGCCACTGCACTCCAGCTTGGGTGACAATAGCAAGACCCTGTCTCGGAAAAAAGAAAAAAAAAGATTGAAAGTGGGACCTAATTAAACTTCAGAGCTCCTGCACAGCAAAACAAACAAACAAAAACTAACAATAGGGTACACGGGCAGCCTACAGAATGGGAGAAAGTAATTTGCAAACTATGCTTTTAAAAAAGGTCTAATATCCAGCATTTATAAAGTACTTAAATCAATCAACAAGCAAAAAAAAAAAAACTTTATTAAAAAATAGGCGAAGGAAATGAACAGACACTTCTCAAAAAAGACATACAAGCAGCCAAAAAGCTTAGGAAAAAATGTTCAATATCACTAATTATTAGAGAAATGCAAATCAAAACCACAATTAGTTACAATCTCACACCAGTCTGAATGGCTACTACTAAAGACTCAAAAAGTAACAGATGCTGGTGAGGCTGAGGAGAAAAGAGAATGCTTATACACTGCTGGTGGGAATGTAAATTAGTGCAGCCACTGTGGAAAAAAGTCTGGAGATTTCTCAAATAATTAAAACAGAACCAGCACTACACCCAGCAATTTCATTATTGTGTTTATACTAAAAGAAACATAAAGCATTTCTCCATAAAGACATATGCACACCAATGTTCACCACACACTATTCACAACAGCAAAGACATGGAATCAACCTGGATTCCCAACAATAGTGGACTGGATAAAGAAAATGCAGTGCATATACACCATGAAACACTACACAGCCATAAGAAAGAATGAGATCATGTCTTTTGCAGCAACATAGATTGTCATTATCCTAAGTGAATTTACACAGGAACAGAAAATCAGATACTGCCTGTCCTCACTTATAAGAGAGAGCTAAATGCTGCATACACATGGATACAAAGAAGGGAATGATAGACATTGGGGCCTACTTAAGAATGGAGGGTGGGAGGAGGGTGAGGATTGACAAACTACTATCAGGTATTATGCTAATTACCTAGGTGACAAAATTAGCTGTACACCAAACCCTGAAACATGCAATTTACCCATTTAACAAACCTGCACATGTACCACTTAGGTGTAAAATAAAAGTTGGAAAGAAAAAAAATTTAAAAATAAAAATTGGGGGTCAACAGAGATGAATCTTATGATAAATAAATAAATAATGCTGGTAAAATTGAATATCCCTATGCAGAAGAATGAAACTAAACCCCATCTCACCCCACATACAAAAATCAAATCAAAATGGACTAAAGACTTAAATCTAGGACCTCAAACTATGAAACTATTAATACCAACAGAAAACATGGGGGAAACTCTCCAGGACATTGGTCTGAGCAAAGACTTCTTGAGTAATACCACAAAACCACAGACAACCAAAGCAAAAATAGACAAAGGAGACCACATCAAGTTATTAATAAAAAGCTTCTGCACAGCGAAGGAAACTATCAACAAAGTGAAGTGACAACCCACAGAATAGAAGAAAATATTTGCAAACCATCAACCTGACAAGGGATTAATACCCAGAGTATATCAGGAGCTCAAAAAACTCAACTGGAAAAAAATCTAATAATCTGATTTTAAAATAGGCAAAAGATCTGAATAGACATTTCTCAGAAGATATGCAAATTGTGAATGGGTATATAAAAAGTGCTCTACACCACTGACCATCAGAGAAATGAAAATGAAAACTACAATGAGATATCATCTCACTCTAGATAAAATGACTTTTATCTAAAATACAGGCAATAGCAAAAGCTGGGGAGGATGTGGATAAAAGGGAACCCATACACACTGTTGGTTTGAATATAAATTAGTGCAACCACTATGGAGAACAGTATGGTGGTTCCTCAAAAAACTAAAAATAGGACTACCATATGATCCAGCAATCTCACTTCTAGGTATATACCCCCAAATAAAGGAAATCAGTATATTTAAGACATATCTACACTCCCGTTTATTGCAGCACTATTCACAATAGCCAAAATCTGGAAGCACCCTAAGTATCCATTAACAGACAAATGTATAAAGAAAATCTGGTTCATATACACAATGGAGTACTATTCAGCCGTAAAAAAGAATGAAAGCCTGTCACTTGCAACAACATGAATGGAACTGGAGGTCATTATGTTAATGGAACTAAGCCGGGCACAGAAAGACAAATTTTACATGTTCTCACTAATGTATGGGAGTTAAAATTAAAACAATTAAACTCAGAGAGTAGAATGCAAATTACCAAAGGCTGGGAAGTGCAGTGGGAGAGTGGTAGAAAGTGGAGATGGTTAATGGGTACAAAAATATAATTAGAATGAATAAAATCTAGTATTTGATAGCACAAAAGAGTGACTACAGTCACAATAATTTATTGTATATTTTTAAATAACTAAAAGAGTATAATTGAAATGTTTACAACCACAAAGAAATGACAAATATTTGATTGAAGTGATGGATACCCCATTTACCCTCTTGTGATTATTATGCATTACATTCCTGTATCAAAATATCTCATGTGCCCCATAAATATATATACCTGCTATGTACCCATAACATTAAAAATTATTATTATTATTATTATTATATTTATTTTTGGAGACAGATTCTCACTCTGTCACCCAGGCTGGAATGCAGTGGTGTGATCTTGGCTTACTGCAACCTTCACCTCACAGGTTCAAGCAATTCTCCTGCCTCAGCCTCTCAAGTAGCTGGAATTACAGGTACTCACCACCACACCTGGCTAATTTTTGTAATTTTTATTAGAAATAGGGTTTCACCATGTTGGCCAGGCTGCTCTTGAACTCCTCACCTCAAGTGATTCACCTGCCTTGGCCCCCTAAAATGCTGGGATTACAGGCATGAGCCACAGCACCCGGCCTGAAAATAAAATGTTTTTAAACAATTTTTTTAAGTGAATAAAATGACTGCTTTTTAGCCCTATGAGTAAATAAAACACTAACAAGATTTTGCAATCTAATTTTTAAATTTAACAATATATAAAAAATATTTTCTCATGTCACCAAATACTTGTCTACATTATTTTGACATTTGCAAATTATCCCATCTTGTAAATGAGCCATGTTTTATTTAACCAACCTAATATTATTATTTAGTATTTTTCTTTTTTTATAATTTTAAACAATTAGATTAAATTCCAGATAAATATTTAGGAACATCTATGATTGTTTTCTTACGCTGCATTTTTAGAAGTAGCGTTGACAATAATAAAACACGCTAATCATATTCACATCTTATTTATAACAATCTTATAAGGTAAATGGTAAAATTATATCCATTTTATGGGTGAGTAACTTGAAGACCACAGGTATCTAGACAATGACTACTAAAGCCATTTTTTAACCCAGGGAATCCAAACAGATAGCATCATTTTAACCCTTCTATGTCCAGGAATTCATTCATTCAGTGACACAATGAGAAAACCAGGAGATCCTAATTATCTCCATAAGAGAGATGAAAAAAACAAGAAAGAAAGGAAAAAAGGACTTGTCCAATATTCAATGAACCAGGGAACAGTTAGGAAAGGAATGACTCAGCCAGGCACAGTGGCTCACGTCTGTAATCCCAGCACTTTGGGAAGCCAAGGAGGGTGGATTCCTTGAGGTCAGGAGTTCGAAACCAGCCTGGCCAACATGGCAAAACCCTGTCTCTACTAAAAATAAAAATAAGAAATTAGCCTGGCATGGTGGTGGGCGCCTGTAATCCCAGCTACTCGGGAGGCTGGGGCCTACGTCAGCGCATGGAACACTTAAGAACACCAGTAGACTTTTGTTTCCAACTTTGAAAGGGAGCCGATCTCTGGTATTTACTGATAAAGAAGCAACTGGCAGCTGCATATGGAGCCCTTCAGGTTTGTGAGAGTGTGACAGGACAGACTGCTTCATGTGAATGACATTCAAGGGTAACCACCCCCCAGACTGGGACAACACAGACATCCACCTTAGCAAACAGAACAGCGGAGCACCCTGAGGATGAGCCCGTTAGCAGAAGAATTACAAGAAGTCTTGGAACGTGCAGTCTTGATGCAAGATAAAGCCATGGGTCAGCCTGAGGCACTCTTAAACCCTGAACCATCACCATTTAAAGAAGGGCACCTCCCCAATCTGATGGGGCATGGTATATGGATGGGTCCAGCCAGGGTGCTACTGCTGCCTGGACCATTCTCACAGTCCAGCCTAGTACTGATACCATATGGTTTGATACTGGGTGTAGACAAAGTAGTCAATGGGCTGAACTCAGGGCAGTGTGGATGGTGATCACCAAGGAGGAGACACCTATGGAAATCTACAAGGATAGCTGGGCAGCTTATCAAGGCCTGACCTTGTGGTTAACTCCCTAGAAGTTACAGAATTGGCTAGTTGGCCACCGGTCCATTTGGGGCCAGACCATGTGGCAAAACCTATGGGAAACGGTCCACCAAAAGGACATCACTATTTATCATGTGCCAGGCCATGGGCCCCCATCCAGTTACAGAAACACACCAAGGATGACCTTCTTCGACCAGGTATGGGGATGAAAGATAACCCATTGTTGCCTGCCACAATGCCCCTAAAGGCAGGGGAATGAAAAACCTGGCTTTGGCCATCAGCCCTCCAAGCAACCCATTGCCAATGGTTAGCTATTGTAACCCCCAAAAGGAGGACCTACAGTATGATTTACATTTCACTCCTTAGGTATTTAATATATGGCTTCCGTGACTGATCATCCATAGGAGAACAGCTTGGGGAGAAACCCTCCTCCGGGGTTCACATGTATTATCTGTGTGGCCTATTATGAGCTACCCAGTGACTTTGGCATAGATACAGGATCCAAAGGAACCATGGGGAGCTGAGAATGTGTGGTGCCAACGCCTAGAGCTTCTGGCCTAGGCAGCTGCATTGTTAACCAGAAATGAAAAGTGGGCCTGCATGTTGCCTGAAGGGCATGATTTACCCCTGTTAGTACCTGTGCTTGCTTTATCATTTCAACCGTAGGTTGATATGCTCCAGCAGCACCGTGGACTAGGCCTGCAGCCACACGGAGGTCACCCGTGTTTCCAACTGTTGGATCTGCACCGCCCTTCCAGCAGAAGCTGTGGATGGCTTGCCCAGGCACACACATCCAGCTTCTATAGAAAACGGGACATGGTTAGAGACTTGGCATGGCCGACGTTTGGAACACAACAAGCTTTGGATACAGGATGCCACAAAACCCATAGCATGCCCACCCCCGGCTGACCCATAGCGACTATGATGGATAGGGCTGGTTAGTGGGAGAATATGTGGTACCCCCACCACAGGTACCACAATGTATAGAGCAGCATTGGGGCAACGTCACCGTGGGGTGCTTACTGCCACAGCCTGCACAAATATACGTCACCACACCAACATATGTTATATTTGTGCAGGCTATGGCAGGTAACCACCCCACAGTGGAATAGGCAACCTCATCACTGCTGGGCCTCAATGGACTTTGTGGCCCCTGGAAATTTATAGGTCTATGAAGACACAGGATGGTCATATTTGCCAGTGAATTGGACGGGCTGCAGTACCTAGAGGGGGGCTTATGTGCTTGCCAGTGTTATTCCCACATTACCCAGATGCCCACATAACTGGGAGGCACCGCATTCTCAGTTTTTGTGAGTGCAACCAGGCCACTGGTGGCTCTACCCCTTAGCATTACGCATCCCTAGAGCAGGTGCCATAACTGTGGAAATGCAAGTTACAGCCCAAACAGATCACACTGCTCGAGCCTTGAATTACACCTGAGTTGCCCTCCTTCTGTTGACAGATGAGGTTGATCAAACCAGGAAGGTGGTACTGCAGAACCGATGGCACTAGACATATCAACGGCTGCCCAAGGTGGCACCTGTGTCCTTTTGGGAACACAATGTTGCACCTTCATCCCTGACAATCAAATCAACATAACAGCAGCTTTGCAAGGAGTTTCCCGGGAAATCAAGGCAGTTGAGAGTCTTGCTGATGACTCCTTACAGACATGGGGAGTAGGCTCTCGCCTATACTGGACCCTAACAATTATGGGCAGCATAGTGGGAATATTAGTAGTGAGTTATTTAATGTATCAAGGTGTAATGAGGCAAAAACTGATATTAAGAAAAATATTTAATTACATTTAGAGGCATCATAATATTTATTGAGGCATTTTTAAGAGAAAACTGATATTTCATAAACATTTTTTTCAAGAACATTTTTATTTTTAAATATTTAAGAGCCAGGCACAGTGGCTCACCCTTGTGATCTAAACATTTTGGGAGGCCAAGGCAGGAGGATCACTTGAGGAATTTAAGACCAGCATGGACAACATAGTGAGACCTTGTCTCTATAAAAAATTAAAGAGAAATTAGCTATTTATAGTGGTGCATACCTGTAGTCCCAGCTACCTGAGAGGCTGAATGGAAAGGATCCCTTGAGCTCAGTAGTTGGAAGTTAAAGTAAGCCATGATTGTACCACTATACTCCAGCCTGAGCAACAAAGCAAGATCTTATCTCTGAAAAAAAAAAAAAATTACACACCTTTGCTGTATTTGAGATAGTCCAAATGTGAAAACATTAAAAGATAACTTCCCATTCAGAAATCAGAAAACATTTTTCAATAAGGAATAATAAAACGATTATGTTTTAAGTCAAATGTTACGTGCTTCTTCTCAGGTTCTGGGAATGCTGCACTTTCAACAAAGTGTCCAATCAACTAAAACCAAGACACAGACATCCCCCCGCAAAAAAATCAATGCAATTAAAAAAAAATACTGACAATTCCCTGTCTATGAAGACTATGAAGAAGCTATGCCCTAGTGATTTAATATGGGGATGGAGACGTAGATGTCATGCAAACCCGAGCCCCGTAAAACTGTGGCTTGAATGAAGCACTGCAAGAGAAGTACAGGAAAGCCTTCACTTGGGAAGGCTCCAAGAATGATGGACATGAGTGCATCAAACAGCCAGGCACAAAGGGGTCTAGAACTACTTTACTCCCAGCACAGGCATGTCTGATTCTCACATTAGACAGCTGAGTTTTATGCCTATAGACTTCTAGCTATTTATGCAAACATCTGAGATGCATTTTCAGTTGCTTACACAGAGAGCTCCAGCTTGCAAGTGGAAGTGTCATGAGGGGGCCCAGGCAGGAAGACTACTCACCTGAGACTTTCTCCTCAGCTTGAGGCCTGCAGGTGCCCACCTTCCCCATGTGGGCCACCTTATCAGAAGGAATCTGAAATGTTGAAGTCCACAGGAAACAGTAAAAAAAATGCAGATTCAAGAATCTGCCACAAATGGCCCTCTGTCCACAGGCAATTAATTTTGCGGTATCTTTTTCTTCACGTGCTAGAAAGAGCTGAAAATAAATATTTGAGATCTCTCAAACACCCTCTGATTTTAGAGATGGGGCTCATGATAACAAGGATAGGAGTGAACTCCCTGGCATCACTTCACCCATTCATTCATCCGCTGAGTGTTTACTTTGTCCCAGGTATATCAGACCTCAGGGAGCTTACAGTTAGGAGGAGACCAACAAGTTTCCTGCAGTGGAAGTTTGGAAGGAAGCACAGAACAGAGAAAGCCTGCCATTCCCTGCTAGAACTAGGGACATCTTCACACAGCAGGAACACATAACCTCAGTTTTGAAGTAGACGTTTGCCTTGCGCCCGGGAAGAACTATATTCCAGGAAAAGGAGAAAATTCCATAAAAAGTTCAGGAGTATTCAAATAGCAGCAAGTTCAGCCAGTGGAATATCAGACTAGAGAAGAAATGATTAAGGGCTTTGAATGTTCTGTATTTCCCACAAGGAAATAACATTTGTTACTATCATACTTATAGCAGAGAAATGCAACTAGAATGTAAAACCTATGCCTTTAAGGAGAAGGTTACTTAGGACAAGAGGTAAAACTAAAAAGAGACTAGTGTGAAATACCTGGAAAGCAATTGCGGTGGTAAGGTTGAAAATCACAAAAGGTGAAAGATGAAAGGAGGAGGGAGGAAGGGAAGGTGGGGGCAGAGGTTGAAAAACTATCAATTACTCTGCTCACTAACTGGGTGATGGATCAATCATACCTCACACCTCAGCACCATGCAAAATATGATGTCACAAACCTGCACGTGTACCCTCTGAATATAAAATACAAGTCGAAATTTTTTTTTTAAAGAAAGGTGGAACATGATTGAAGTTTAGCAAACACTGCTATAAGTGATTAGGAAACACTGAACAATTTTAAGCAAGTTGACAAACTAATCAGATTTGCAATTTCAGAAGAATGCTTTGGTGCCAGCATGGAAGCTGGGTGGGAAAGCAATGGGACTGCAGACAGGCAGGGAAACTGCTGCAGAAATCTTCAAGAAGGATGGGGATGCGGAAGAGGCAGGTGCAACGCGGGAAAGGCCATAGCAGATATGAGAGCTATTTAAAAGGTAGAATCCATAGGAATTGGTCATCACCAGATATGGCTATTAAGGGAGAAGGTACCCAGGATGACTGTTCAGCTGTCCAATTGGACAACAGGGCAAATGACAGGACCATTCTCCCAGACAGAGAACACAAGAAGAGTTGGGAGGAATGATGTTGCAGGTCCACCACGAGCAGGGGCGTTAATTTTGATGAACAGTCTGTAGTTCACAAGCTGGCTGTAAACACACCCACGGACACCAACTTGAATATTGGGAACAGGGACCCGGGAAAGGAGATGCCCCATGCTGCGACCTCCAGACTGGAACCCTGCTGAAATGATTAGGAGGGCGAAATGTTTCTCTTCTGCTGGATAGCGTAAGTTCCATCTCACAGACCCAGCAGCTGCCCTGCAGCTAGTTGTTGAGGGAGGCAAGAGAGCTATTAATTAAGTCTAGCTGACATCTGATAGTACTGCTGTGTCCTCTGGCACACAGTGGCCCCTGTCTCCAATTTAAAGGGCAGAAATTAAAAGCCATGCAACCTGACCTCACAAGCTTGAGCTCGCCTGAACTGTGGCCGGATCCCTAGACATACACCAGGCAGAATCCACGTCTGCACATTTAGTTCCTGCAGGCCTGAAGAAACCTAACACCTTTTCCCACCCACTTCCAGTGTCACCAGGAAATTAGCACTCACCCAAGTACTGGGTCATAATTAAACTAAACAGAAAGACAGCTGCTCCTACCTTTCTTTTTTAATCACCAACATGCGGCCTTGGGGATTACCAGCTTTGGGCTGATTTAGAGAGGATTACTCTTTCATTAGTTTCCAGGGTCAGTTCCAATACACTGTCATAAGAGCCCTTTAAGATCCCCTTCCATGACTGAAAGTTTAGGTTTTTGCAAGCCACTGGCAGCCTACTATTTGTCAGACCCCACAAATATCTGATTTTTAACCAGAAACAACACCCCAAAATGATTCTGCACCGATTTTCTAGGTGCAGATATCTAGGAGATATCATTCTAAATCCCCAATGTAGTCTCTAAAAATGAGAAGGAACAAATATGGGATAGAAATATGGCCGACCCTTTATGTTAAAAGTCAAAAAATCCTTGAATTTCCTACAACTACCGCAATGTACATCTACCGCCCTTATGCGGCTAAACCAAGAGACGCAAGCAAGCTGATAACACGAGTGAAGGCTGGGCACATCAGACTGGGGAAAAGGTGAGGCACACATCCACCCAGATGCATCAGAAAAAAATGTAACTATTGTGTGTGGATAAGCAAAATGTCTGTTGGCTAAAGTTAGCCTGCCTGTTCTCAACTTCCTTTGTCTATTTATACTTTCATTCACTCAGAAAATATTTCTTAAGTGTCTATTATCCCTTGGGTGGTTAGCAAACATAGACACAGCCCATCCCCTCATAGAACCTCGTAGACAATGGTACTGAGTCAGGAGGTCAGAGAAGGCCTCCCGGAGGATGTGAGGCTTACTCTGCAATCTGAAGGATACGCAGGGTAGCTTGGTAAACGAGAGAAATATAGGTTTGAAGTGCAAAGTAGGAATAGCACATGCAAAGACCATATGGCAAGGGGGAACATGACAAGAAGAGCAATGACAGGCAAAATGACAACGAAAAGGTGGGCTGAAGCCAGATCATATAAAATCACAAAGCCTTGTAGACCAAAGTGTGGAACATTGCCTTATGTAATGGAAAAATGAATTTTGAAAAGATCACACAAGCTACAATGACGAGAATGTGTTAGAAGGCTGTTAGAATAGATGTGGATAGAAAAAATGAGTAAACTATTTATATACCCCCTAGCAAGCGATGGTGGTAACCTGGAGCCCTTGTATTGCTTCTCAGAATCACAAACGCCATATTGACTCCCCTGCAAAATAACTTGAGTCAAAAATGGCCTCCTTCCGGGTGCGGTGGCTCACGCCTGTAATCTCATCACTTTGAGAGGCCAAAGCAGGAGGATCACTTGAGGTCAGGAGTTGAAGACCAGCCTGGCCAACATGGTGAAATCCCATTGCTACTAAAAATACAAAAAATTAGCCGGCCATGGTGGCACACACCTATAGTCCCAGCTACTTGAGAGAAGGAGGTGGGAGAATTCCCAACTGCAGTGAGCTGACATCATGCCATTGCACTCCAGCCTGGGCAACAGAGTGAGACTCTGCCTTTAAAAAAAAAAAAAAAAAAGTGGCCTCTTTTAATCTTCAAGGGTGGCTCCAGTTCTTGGATTCCAGGATTTGGTGCACCACTCTGTATCTGCTTTCTCATGTGACAACCTTTCTCACCATAGCAATGGAGTCTTCATTCACAGCACCTTGGCTAATTTCATTTTTTCTATACTAAAGATAGAAAAAAAAATCCTAAGACCTGAAAACTTTTTATTCTGACTCCATTTTGAAGTCCTGGGATTTTGTGAACCATTTCAGCTCTATCACAGCTTCCTTGCAGTGGGCAATTAGAATTGTACCCAGTATTTTGGTACAAAAACACCATGGGAAGATCTGCTTTGTTTACAGTATCTTTCCACCCATGTCCATAAGGATCCCAAAATGCCTTCCAAGGTCATAAATGGAAAGCTGGAGCCCATGATCACTGTATTAGCCCATTTTTGTATTTAGTCCATACAAAGAAATACCTGGCTAGGCACAGTTGCTCACACCTATAACCCCAGAACTTTGGGAGGCCAAAGTGGATGGATCACCTGAGGTCAGGAGTTCAAGAC